GCCACGCGCTTGCCGTGCGGTCCAACATTGTGGCGGAGAAGAACAAAGGCTCCGTCGGGTGCGCCTTGAGTACACGCACGCGAGCCCACTGGTTGCCCTCGCAGCTCGCAACGCTCGCAAGTGGCCGGCAGGTGTCAACATCCCACAGCGTAACGAGGCCGTCGACGGCGCCGGTCAGCACCAGGGCGCTCGACGTCGAGTGCCCTTTTGAGTCATCCTCGTCTGTGGCAGCCTTCAACACCTCCGGCGGCATCACGGGCACACTGCAGCATGTCGTGAGCGGCATGCAAAGCGATCCCACCACGCTGTTGCCGCTTTTAATCGCATGGTCGGTGTTTCCATCGTTGGGGATCCCAGTGGATGGGTTGGTAGTATTCACCTTCACGTTTCGGACAGACTTAGTGATGCGGAGGCGCCGAACCACGTCGCGAATCCCCAATTCGTGCTCGGCCTTAATCGCCGCCAGCGAGGTGGTAGCGAAAATGTTCTTTAGCACTTCGATGCGGTGCTGTGCGCGCTGCGTGCTAAATGGAAGGAGCTGTTCAACGCGGATCTTGACAAGGGCAGGTGACGCACGTGAAAAGACCTCGCGTGTGCGGCTGGAGAAAGATGCGCCGGTCGAGGGAGATGTAGAGGGCGCCGTTTGTACACCAGGAACTTCGTTCGCCATCCTTTCTTCTGAGTTTCCCTTTGAGCACTATTCTAGAAATATAGGTTGCCAGATGCAAGCTTGGACCTCTTTGTGTTATGTAAATAAAATGCTTTTTGATTTCTCTGTGTGTTCAAATGTGTAGGACCTTCACCACAACTAGAATTGCCCAACAGACACTCACACGCTACTTGCTCTCCTCATGCACGTAAACAAATGTGAAGTCTAAAGGATAGAGTAAATTTCCTTAGGCCACGTCATAAGCAAAAATAACAATGTTAATACACAAAAGCTCGAATAATGAAGTGAGGAAATTTAACTGTTTGGATTTCGAAAAAAAGAGTTCTCCAAAGTGAAATAGTTCAGCCTTTAAGCGTGCATCATGTGAAGAGAAAATCGAAACGAAAGGAGATGCAGGTATGTCCGAGGCGACCTCTTCCTCTCTGTCATTTGATTTCTAAATTTTTACACTTGTAACACTTTCGGTACCTCACAAGGGCATGTACCCCATGCTGGCGTAGTCTTTCCCTGTTGTTTCGTTCTCAGTCATCACATTAAAGTCATCATGGACCTGCCAAGTTTCATCCCTTACCCAAGAACCCTCCTCTAATGGATTTTTTTCTGAGGAGAGCGCATCTCGTTCCCACTTTTCATCCTGCATTGCACGCAGAGAATGACTTTCCTCCTCAATTTGATGTGCAGCGTCTACTATACCTGCCGGGCTGCCCAATACAGATTCCAGCAAGGCTAGCATAGCAGCATCACGTTCCTTGAGAATACCCCATGTTATATGTGATCCCACTACTTTTCCCACTGCATCGTCATCGTTTAAGCCCTCCTTATTTCCTTTCTCACTTTCTTCACCAACATTTTTTCCTAACCTCTGCTGCTCCTGTTGGGAGAGTGATAAGAGATCTCTCAATGTCGCTACTTGTCGCATGACATTGTCATAGGCCGCCTGAATAGCCTTAATGCGGATTCCCAGGTCCTCTAGTGAAATTTTAGCCTCACAGGTTTTCATGGTAACGCGTCCAGGACCCACCCCAGGAGCTGCGTCGCTTCCAAGTGTAATGTCCACATGATTGAACCACCCCAAATACTCACCGATGGCAATTTTGATGCTCTCCTTTAGTATGTCTCCCTCCAATAAAGGATCATCAAGGTTTTTAAGAAGATCTAGATGCAAGGGAATCCGCAAAGTTCCATGAACATTGACAGTTACGTAGGAAGCTTCTGTGTTTGTATCCATTATATATATATATAAATATTTTTAAACACTTATTTGGTGAATGTTTTCATTTTGTAAAAACGCGTAGGAGAAACGAATACAGGTAGTCTTAATAATTAGCTTTGCTATATTAATAAATAATCCGTGAAGTATTGCAAAGAGCCATCAGCCAGAGGGAATGGGAAATGGAAAAAAAATGAACCTTTAAGCTCTGAATGCATGAGTATTACAATGCAGAATCATTAGTCCGCACACATATGATGGGTCGGATGATCTACAAAGCGCTCCATTCCAAACCGCACTGGATGCCCATAACACTTCTGCTACGGGTCCGTATATTTTTAAAGCTTCGCAATAGTTTGCTCGAGTTTATCAACATAAATGTACTCACCCAACGCGGCGAATCCCGTCACAGGGAGGACCTACTACTTTCCATAGCGTCTCTTAGAAACTTGCTTTAGCCCTTCAGGTTTATGGATAATCGATGCCCGTGTTTCAACTTATTTTCATCGATCGCACAACATCGCTGTTTAGGACTGCAAAGTAGCACTTTGCCCTGCTTGGCATTAAATATATCCAGCTTTTATCGCTCACATTCGTCGAGGCTTTAAGATCATAATCGGTGGTTTAAGCATATCTACAATGCGGACGCTCAAAGACCTTTTCCATTACCCTCGATGAAAATCTGCCATTTCGGTGTGCGTGGATACGTTTCCTATTTGATATTTCATACGAGTGCTTCTTCGAGGACCGTCTTCATCAACGGGATCCTCAGACCTCACCTGATTGGAAATGTTTCAGGTAGTGAGACCGCACACCTCGTGAAGCCAATGTCAGTCATGACTTTCGGAAATAATCTGAGAACCAAAAGATCTCAACAGGCATAGAGTGAGGTGATTTCCCACATTTCAGCTTTTGACTATACGCTTTCTTTATTAAATTGTGGTTAAATATATCGTTGAGCGTCTGAAAAAAGATGGACATCAAAAGTTTAGAACAGATCAAATATAATTTGAAAAATAATAAACATATAGTCGGTTGCACACACGTAAGTTAAACATATTCTTAACAAAGAGGCACTAATCGATGATACAAAAACATCTTAAAATAAGCAAAAGGTATTCACGTATGTACCGCAGAATCATCACAACAAGGAAATCAAAGCTTTTGATTCTTTTATTTGCGCATTTTTGAATACAAAAAAGCCAGATAGATACATTAGTACCACACCAAAGTGACGGTCTGGAAGGAAAAGGAAGCCGATCAATTGATGAAAAAACGAGTTCATGATGAATTTCAATAAGACACATTGCTCAGAAAATAGCAAGCGCGACAACAGTAATAGTAGTTGTTTCACGAAGATGAAATCCTTGAAAATGTATATGAACTAGAAATTTACAAGGAAATAATATATCAATATTGATAGGCTTTATTCATATGTTTTGGTGGAAAGAATTCCAGAAGAGTGCAACGGTGGATGCAAAAGATCGAAGGTGTATTTGAATCGACTATATATAAATAATTATATATATATATATATGCATATCTCTCTCTCTCTAAATATATATATATCGCAAATCATTCAGTATCTGAAGTGATGCGTATTCAAAGCATTGATATTTTGTGTGAGCTTCGAGGGAAAGAAATGAAAAGCCCCTCCCTCGAAAAAGTGCCAAAATTATATTATCACATTCTTTTTGGCCCTTTATTCCATTGACCTTTCGCCCTTCCCCATCCACAGGCCTCCCTTGAGTCAAAACTTGCATGATAACACAAAAGCATAGGGAAACCATTTCAAGAAATAGAAGGGTATACATTAAAAAGACATGGCAGCTCTTGATTTAGAAAAAAGGAATACGAATGAAGCATAGTTTGCCGAAGCATTTTTATCATAGTTTCGTTTCATTTTGCAACCTTATTACTATATTTAGGTAAAATAATAAAAATATTGTGTAAGAAGTCAAATCCGAACTAACGAAATAAACACCAAAAGAATTTTTTTTACTACAGGTAAAGAGGATGTTTTGCGCACTTGTTTAACCCACTTCTTGGCAAATTGCCAAACACTTGATCTCTTCCAGTATCACGGATTAAGCTAGGAAGTGCGAAATTAGTGCTTCATAGTTATATATTTATATAAAACACGAGACGTGATAACATGCAACTGTAGACGGTTGTCTGTGTCGTGTTTTTTTTTTCGTGAATGTATAAATATATATAAATATATAAACATATTTCGCCTCCATTAAAAGCTTTTACGCGTACATTGGCCTGTATGTATGCGTATGCATACAACTTTTGAGCATCTACACAGTCTTTCCCCTTCTTTTGCTTCTATTCTCTGGAAAATACCGTTCAATGTGTTAGTCTATAAAGAAACCCCACGATTGTTCCTTCACTTGTTTTACTAGTTTATTGCTCCACAAGGCCACAAAGTCAACGGGTTCAACATTTAACCAATTACCGGTAGAAATAAAGGAGGACCTCACCTGTGATAAAGGGCGAGAGGAGTAAAGAAAGAAAATACTATTTAAAGGCTTAGCCATCTGAAAACAATTTTCTTTCGTTGATATATGTAATTAAAGATTTTTCAAGACGATACCTACAGCGCTAATGAACAGTGCGCAGATGGCGCACATATAAAGGCATCAAGCATCCCTTTTCTAACCTTTCGATTGTCAGCTCTTCTTTTCGTCTCCCTTCTTCCAAAAAAAAAAAATATTTTAAATAAATAAGTCGGTTTTGATAGGATACAGAAAGACGAGAAGACCCATCTGTGTATACGAACAAAATAACACGAAAGCGATGCCAATGGATGAGCTGATGAATACAACCCATTGAAAAAAATTCCACATGTGAAATAGATAAAGGCACTGCATAATTTTCAATTCGCAAACAGCTAATAGCACACTGTTTTAGTGCAAGTATGCCAAGCCTTTTATAATTTATAGAATTACCTCGTGCCATTTCTGATGATATATTGTTCTGCTTTTCCTTGTCTTTTCATTTGAATGGGCCCACCTACCACTCGCGCCGCTGCAGTCGCTAGCTAAAACGAGAAGCATCTCCCACATTCCTCAACGAAGATCTCGCCTATCGTGCCGCATAGTCGACGTTCAACGAAAACACGACCGGATTCCCTTCGTTCTCGCTCCGACTCATACTGTTGTTATTATTACTGCTGCAACTATATCCGGCATTGCCAGAAGCTGTCACGCTTACCGTGCTTCGGATTAACGTGGAATGCAGGTTCCCCGCTTTGGAAGAATGGCTGGAGTTCATGGCCTTCCTATTCATCACCGTTGTCATACAGTGCACAAGCCGTATGAATTCGTCCAGGTGGCAGTGATAGTCGAGATTTTGCAGAGGCTGCTCCGCCATTATGAGGGCCTTGGCAACATCTTTACCGTCAAAATCACTCAGGCCAAGTAGACCTTGAAGGCCCTCCACCACACACACCCGAAGCGGCACCGTCTGTGTCATGACAGCCAAGTGCGGCGAGAAGAGTCGGCTGGAGCTCGTGATGCTGCCCATAAAGTCAATATGAGTTGTCAGGTTAGACGTTATCTGTGAGGTCTCCTTCATGACGGCGGTTCCAGCGGATGAATTGTTCGTGCCAAAACTCTCTTTTCCATCCTCTTGAAGCAACTTCACTGACATCAGAGACTCCTGCCCCTTTGTTTGGCCGTCGTTGCCAATATCAGGGTTTGCATCGGCGATGTTGCTTAGCTCAAGCGACACGGACGGCTCCGCGGCAACGTCGGTGCAGGACGCCGACGACAGCGGGTGCGCCTCTTCACTGCGGTCGTGGCACCCAGAGGCGAGGGAGGGGTCGTTGCTTTTGCCTCGCGACAAGCTCCCACAGCCACGCTTCTGCGAATGATTCTTCAGCTCTTTGGCAGATTGTAGGAGCGCCATGGAGGGGGGTGCTGATTCGAGGACTAACCCCAGTTTGTGACTCACAGTATCACTGGCGACGGTGTGTGTGACGCCACACTCCTCCACAAGATCGAAGAAAGCTTGCCGAATAACCTCCACAGGGTATCGCCCCTGAATCTTGTAGGACATGCACGCCAAAAAGGTTTCAAAGCGCACCGCTGGGATAGGCGGTTGATCCTGTAACGTCCTGGGCAATGCTGCCCTTTTTTCAGATGTTGTTAGGCCTTTCACCGCTTCAACTGCTGAGCTCTGGACTACACTATGATTTGCTTGGACACGTGGGAAGCCGCCCCTGCCGGTGCCCTCCGTGGAGTACATAGGCTTCCCATCGAAAGGGGAGCAGACGTAATGCTGCTTGCGTCCTAGACCCCCAGAGGTCCATAATGGTGGTGTCATTGGGGAGTTGCACTTGCTCACAGCAGGCTCTGTATCAGAGATAAGCATCCGCTCCTGTTTTTGCTGATTCTTCCACAATTCATCGAAGAGATCGGACAGGAGCGTGGCATCTTGTGTGGGGAAAGAGACGCTTTCTAGGATGTCCACTAACTCATTCCAAGTGACATGGCTCTGGGCCATCCCAACATGTGCCTCCTTTGCCGCTCGCAGTTCCCGCAGCATCTCCTGCACGTCAACAGGGGCCGCGCTAAACACGGAGGAGATATCGCTCCCTGAGGAACGAACATCCACAGCAGAGCCGGCCGCCATCATGCTGCCTGTCAAGGAGGCTCTCTTGCTGAAGACGGGCAACACAGCAGTTGTCGTTGTGGTGTGTGGGGGGTTCACCCTAGAGAGAGCGCTAAAGCCCCGTTGGATGGGGTTGGAGTGTGGCAGCGGGGGGGTGCAGTTGGGATGCGCTGAGGCCTTGTTGGCGACACTTCCCGGGAGAGGTGTCCCTATTATCCAAGAATGCGGCGCCGAAGAGCGCACCCCCACCGAGGAGCTTTGGGTGGAGCCGGATAACGTGAGAACGTGACCTTGCGACGGCTTAGTACTCTTTGTCGAGGTGATAAAATTCTCCTCCCCGTTTTCAGAGTTTGTCGAACAGGTGGGCTGTCGTCGACACATAATGCCGCAGTTCGTACAATTGGGCTCACTCGAATCTCCGGTGCTGTTATCACAGTGAGCATGTTTCGTAGCAGAGTTGAAGGTTGGTACATTCAGTAGTGGTGTGTTATCAGGAGCTTTACAATCTTCAATCACTTGTTCATCAAGTATGGTGTCGTTACCGTTTCCAGTGGACGACGATACGAACATTACAGGCTTTCCTATACTCAATGCCTCGGAAATATGTTCCTTCGGCGGTGACTCCACCGGCTGCACACCCAGACCGTGACTAAGACTTGAGTTCCCTCCTTGAGGTGGCTGTTGCTTAGCTGGGGGCGTTTCTCCCTGCATTGAATCATCCTCTACAAAGTGCACCTCACGGCTTATTGTTTTACTTTCTTCGCCTGGTGACGGCACGTCGTGGCAATTTTTATGTTCCAATTGCTGGTGAAGCTGATCAATGATAAAAGGTAACGGTGACCTAGGCCGATTTATAAGGATATTTCTATACAATCGGTGCACCTCAGAGGCACATGTCACGAGTGCTTCTTTAGGTTTGTTTATGGAGTCGTCATCAGGGAGGGGATTTGTAATTGCTGACCTTGAGAAAATGCTTCCCTCATTGACTAGCTTAGGTGAGGCATCTTTCTGCTGTTTAGATTGTGAGCTGGAGAGGCACGAAGTGTCTACTGAGAAAAACTTAGTGTATCCTTTCGAGCCTAGTGAAGGAATATCTTTTGCCGGTGATGAGTTCGCTGTCCCTGCGCCCAGAGCCCGCAGTATCCTCCCCGACAAGGAACCATCTTTGTTATTGCTATGCTTTTCCCCTGACGATGCTTGCAGAGTACTTATCGCCGGTGTAGCGGACTTGCATCGCCGCGAGGGGCATTGTCGGCGAATGTAGGGCGAGGTCACTGGAGGCAAATGTGACTTTCCATCGTCTCGCTCAACCACGCCCTGACGGCCGCTTACGCCGTCAGTGGGTCTGCTCGTAGTGGAGGAGAGCGGTGCTGTCACGTTTAACCCCAACACCGAGGTCGAATCCTCCTCTTTGTGGGGCTCCTTCGGATTAGCTTCCTTCAGAGTGCTACCACGTGGGCCGCGCTCATTGTATGATCGATCCGTGTCCGTGACATGGCGCGGTCGATAGAGAGGTCGAGACTGCGCGGGGGAGGCATTCCGGTTCTTCGTCGTCTTGGCAATCGCACATAGAGCCTTCGAAAGCGCTGTCCGTGTCATACCTACCTTTTGCGATGTGGACAGCTGTGTTGAATGCCACGTAGTAGGAGTATTGCTCACACCAAGTTTGGTAGGCATCTCATTACCATTCCTCCCCGTTTCCTGTGACTTACACACGTTAAGGTTCTTATTGGGTGGTAATGTTGAACTAGGCGCGCGTGTTTTGCCGCCTTCTGAGTTATTGTTGTGGGTTAGATTTTTCTCTGATGATATAACCGTGCCTACATGATCCGAGGGGTCATCCGATTCTGTGGTGGATGAGGGACCTTGTTGTGAGCTAGAAGTCACAGAGGTTCCATAGGTACATTCCTGCATATTCAACGTGCCAAAGAACACTTGTTTTGTTGACTTCTAGAGTGAGAGGGAAGGTAACGGGGGGGGAGGGGAGGGGGGGGGGGGAGCCTGTGCGACTTCAACAGAATGAAAATGTGTTTCCGAAAAAATTCACTGGTTCAGAAATGGAAATGCCAAATGAAGTTGAAACGACTTCTTGAGTGAAAAAGTATCCAAAAAGGTATAGTGATATTGAGAGAATGGGAAAAAACTTTCACTTTGTGTATAATTAGCTCCTTCTCCTGTGGCGAGGAATTATGCACCTGATATAACGGACCAAATTAGAACAGCCGAGAGCAAGCTGCGCAAGGCGGAAAAAAACAGCCAAATGAGCTTATAGTGTGAAATACTAAATGCTTAAAAGATGTGTGTGTGATTGCTATGGGGAAAGCATACTCCAAAAAAGTATTTGCTGTGAGAGCCTACAAGTACCTCACCCTTAAAAGCCTCTTGCGTATATATATATATTATTGGCACTTCGTGTGCTAATTAGAACACACCCACTCTTTTAGAACAATTATCCTTTCGTTTTAGAAAGGATAATACAAAAAAAGAAATTTTAAAAGGTATCAATATTTTATTCAACACCTCCTTTTCCCTTAGGTATGAAATCTAGGAAGAAACTGTATGCAAAATTTACTGATATAATTTTATCTGCAAATCCTTTTTAGATATTATAGAAAGAGGTATGGATAATAGTGAAAATGGACAAAAGATGAAGATGTAGGAAAGGGATAAAAAGACGGAAGGTAAGGTAATAGTAACGAAACTCTCCACCTTCATAAAAAATGCCACATGATTGTGCAATACATGCGCTTAGCTCATTCATATATTATTATAATATCACCCTAACTTTTTACAAGCCGCAAGTGATATACGTTTATGTTAATCGACTCACTGTTAATCCGTCCGCAAAGGCAATATGAGCGAAACTTTCCGAGGCTAGTCCACGCACACAAAAACCGTGCAACATGCGAGTGTCATTTTTATTTCAGCGTGGTAAATGCACTTCCATAAATCTAATACTATCTGTTTTGTTTGAGGTCAGTTTAAATTCGTGAATGTACCGCCAAATGGTAGGGTAGTCCTTCTTGAGAGTGAAGATAAACTGTTTCGCATTTTCGCAGATCTCGCCCGCTGTCATATCACCATGTCCGACGCGAAACAAGAGGTGCCCTTGCTTTGTGTAGTGAACCCTGGCACTATTTGCCGCCTGAGACAGACGAAACGTGAGACTTTCTTTCTCATCAAGCCCGTCCAAAGTGGTCAGGAAAGCCTCAGGGTATTTTGAGGGCTGAGGCGCCCTCCCCGCGGCAGAGGCGTCGGATGAAGCAGTGGATAGTGCATCCATCTTGACTTTGCGTTTAATACACACCGGCAGCTTGGTCACGATTCGGGAATCTACGGTAAAGCTCGAAAACGTGTTTGCGACGCGGCTCGCACGTTGCATCGATTCCATATCACCAGGTCGGCAGATAGACTCGGCTGTGACCACTGCGTCGTAGTATCCATGTCTTTTGTTAATCTTAAAGCAGTCCGCAGAGATGGCCTTGGGCACGATAAGACAAGTGCTGCGACCATTTTTAGGGTATACTCGATGGGCTAGACTGAAGGGATGAGTGCCTTGCAGTTCTGGACACTGCGACGCCACTACAGAGGGGAGCAGGAACTCAATAAAGATACCGACCTGCGCGGCTTCGTCACTGTTGTCATTGCAAAGGCGGCGTAGTTTGTATAGGACAGCCTTGGTTACGATGAGGCGCTTGTCTTGCGGCATGATTGCCTATCGTGTCTCGTTTTCTTTACCCTGTAATAAAGGCGCGGTTTGATCCTTTAGTTACCCTTCGAATACGGATCCTAAAGGGGAAAGGTTATTTCAGGGAAATTATCATACACAGAGAGGTAAAACAGCAAAGTTTCGTAGGAAAATCAAGAGGTGCCAGACATGGAAGAAAAAAACCATTCAATCGATATTTGTAGCATGTATGGTGAATTTAATAATAAAAAACACAGGGGGTTGGAGAACACATTCCTGATCTATGCATGTCTATATCTATGCGTTGATTCACTCATCATTTTCCACTAGCAACTTTCTCATAATCTCAAGTGTTTGAGTTCCTTGCGTTGCCGTAAGCGCTTCGCTCTCTTGGGTCAGCTGTGGCAGCTCGTTGGACACTATGAGTCCCCTCGCGGTGCAGTCTTGTATGCTTAATTCATTTCCCATTTCTACTTTTTCCTTCATAAGGCAGTATACTTTTCCTTCAGTGTTTTGTTTATCATCCACAACAGTGGCAGCAGGACTAGTGCTCGGGCCATGTTCTACCCTTAATCCTTTTCCTCTTAGAAAGGTTTTCGCGTTGGGTGCTATTCCATGAACTTGATTGACGCCCATGCCGTCTAAATTGTCGCGTGCGACTGCCAAAAAATTCAAGTCCCGTTCCATTTCAGCCTGATAAGGCGACCCTTCAGTTCTCGCATCCTTTTCATGTCTCATTTTCTTACCTAAAGGTTCTACAGGCTGATGGTTGTCATGAGGAAATCGGTCAGTTCCATCGATGAATTTATCTTTAGTGGACTTGTTTTGCCGTGCTCCCTCCAGATATGGTCGCCATCGTGACTGTGGGGGCTGCCGCTGCGCCAGACGTGCCTCCAATGTGCCACGGTCCTTCTCCATTTGCGCTTTATATCGGATTACTTCCTCCGCATCAGTGGGGAAGATTTTCTCATAAAATACCATTACCTCGGGCTTTGAATTCGCAATGATCTTAGGGTCCAAGGCAGTGATACAAAGATTCGTCGCGCTTTCTACCCGCGAAATCGCAGTGTAAGGCTGTCCGGGTTCGGAAAAATTACTGTCCAGCGGTACCTTGACCATTGGAAGTGTGATGCCCTGCACGCGGTGTATGGTGAGGGCCCAGGCTAGCTCTAGTGGCACTTGTCTACGCACCATACTCAAGCTCCCGTCCGGATTCATGACCTCCATTGTGATCCAGGGCACCAACACCTCCACTGAACGGCCAGGAATGATAAACTCAACAACGGGCAGAGCCGGCTCACCGGCCGACTGCTCCACAAAGCAGCGCACGACGCCACACCTACCGATATCCAACGACGGGTGTTCCGGAAGCGTAGAGAGCAGCATTACCTGTGCGCCAATTTTGAGGTTCAGTAGGGCTGGCAGAGGGATCTCGGAGCTAATGTCAGATCCTGGCACCATAGCGTAATCCTCGCTGGTATAACGGTAAGCATGCGCGCTCCCCAGTGCATCTAAGCGAAGCTGGTTGTAGTGATCCACATCCTTTTTTTGCGGGAGGATCACGACAGCCTCGACGCCGTGGCATTTACCTATATCGCGATTCAGACACTCTGAAAGGACGTTGTCCACTGCCAACGTGTAGCGACCACTTCGAACATCTTCGCAGCATCGCGCAAAGCGCGCGTCTGAAGCATGGCGATAATTTTCTGTAAATTGAATTCCATGAAAATTACACTGTTGCCATGCCACACTCGCGAAGACCGACTGGACTTCTTCCCCTGCCCGCGCAACTGGCGAGAGTTGCAGAAAATCAGTTACGACCAGCAACTGAATTCCACCAAAGGGTTTGTTTGGTTCTTGACGGACATCTCGGGCAACGGCGTCGAGTAAACTAAACACGTGCGCTGGTAGCATGCCGATCTCATCTAGGACCAATACATCGCACGCCTGCCAACACCGTATTGCGCTTGGCTTACTTTTAACTTTTCGTAACACACTATCGAGTGCACCCTCACCCCGGCCTATACCGGCGAAGCTGTGAATGGTAAAGCCACCAAGAGCTCGTGCCGCGACTCCGGTTGCGGCTGTTACCACAGTCCTTTCCTGTGGCAGCACGTCTCGAATCACCCGCTGCAGCCACGCCGTCTTACCGGTCCCCGCTGCACCCGTCACAAAGACGTTACGCCCATCACGAAGCAAAACCACCGCCTCTGCCTGCCGTGGCGTCCACTCAAAGGCGTCCGAGGAAAGCTTCTTGTAGGGAGGACACTTCTGTTCCGGAGCCGAACACGGATCCGGAGGGCGGGGACTATCGGTTAAGCTTCGAGAGCGCTTCATCGAAGGCATAGGCGCCTTCGCTTCACTTGAGTATTCGTCTTCGTCGTCGGTACTGTCGTTGTATTCCCGTTCAAGTCCGGTCTGCGTTGGATCGCGCAGGTAGCCAGAACGTGTGTGCGTTTTATCTCCACTGGCTCCCGCTTCTCTTCCTTGGCCGCTGCCTCTGCCGCGCGCTGCGGAACCCCCAGCGTGTTTGGCTACGTTCTTTTCTAAAGTCCCCCATCGCGAGCGATCTTGTAGGGTTCCCGCCATCATCTGCAACTCCTCAATGTCTGTAGGAGAGGCGTTGATGAACACTGTGCAAAGGCGCTGATGGGCATGTGGTAGCACCAGCGTCAACTTACCCTGCAGTACGTGAGAGGAAAGCACTTGGCGCAGCCCAGATAGCTGGAAAAACGTTCCCTGACCACGACGATGACGACTGGAGCGGACGACTAAGCACGGCCCAAGGCCTGCTTGCCGGGAAAGAAAGCACTCGGTCCCTCCCCATTGGCCGATACGCTCACCATCGGCGGATAGAACAGTTATCTTTCCCTGAACACTGCTCAAGGTTGTTTTGGGCTTCCTAATTCGAAATGGATCGAGCGCCATGAGTACCTACGTAGGAGGAAGGGTTCCTTGTTCTTGAAATTTGCGACTATTCAACATCAATAGGAGAAATAAATTCATGCCTTCTGAAGGCATTAAACTAGTTTTGAGGTCTTCTACAGAGCTTTTCCAGATAAATACAGAAATGTTTTTGTTTTTGGGGGGGAGGGAATTGCAAATTCCATCTGATTTAGTTTTATGTAACCCCATGTTACATAAGGAGCTCACTCCTGATGAAACAAAACCTTGATAAATTATGACCGCTGCGTCCAATTGACAATACACAGCTACTTAAACAAATGCATCTCCTTCGTCTCGTCATCCTTTCAGTCTCCGGTGAATGCTTGATCCTTGAGCTCAACATTTCATCATACACACTTGGCGTTTCTATATGTTTATATATATTATCTTCTGATAACAGATTTAAATCTTTAACATGCGTTAATATTCATTATGCTTGCTCGTGTCAGGGAAACTTATGGAGCTTTCCTCAAAATCATCGGTTTCGGCAGCGCTCTCCGACACCTTGGAGGCCGCCGTCAGTGCGGGCGGTTCCTTACTGACTTGCTCAACACGAAAGCCTATGTTAGATCGGATGTAATGCCGCGCTGCGGCCTCTATAGCAGCCGCGTCGATTTCACCTGCAGTCAGACCGATTCCCAACACTCGACGTAGCTCCACCTCCAGGCGATCGTGGCTGGCCTGGAGGGCCATAGCTGTGTAACGTATTGCAGTTGCCTCCTCGTGGGCCTCACGGTCCAGTCGTGAAAGTTGATCTAACGCAGCGGTGTAGAACCGAGAAAGGGGCTGGTGCTCCATTTGAGCCAAGCGAATCTGTGTTTGAAGAAGCTGATGCTGGGTAGATTGCAGTTCTTCTTTCTGGCTACGGAGCTCTTCGCGAAGGTACAATATGCTACCAGCACTACTATCACGACCACCGTTGCTACTGGAAGCTGTGTTAGACACTCGTTCGTTTGGTGGTAGTTGTTGCTCACTAACAAAGAGCGCGCTTCTCTTCATAGTTGCGGCATCACCGTCATTTGAGGATCTGAATCGTTTTTTTAATGCCTTGTCTGATGCATCTGGAGATGCAACTATTTGCTTTGACCGCGTTGTATGATGTAGTGGGAGTGCCTTGGGCCACTTCCAGAATGATGTATGGGCTGAGAATGATAAAAGAACGCGGAACATCCCTTCCACAAGTACCCCTTGTCTAGTAATATAACAGGAGTATACAAAAAACGAATAATAATTATTATCAGATTCAACACATTTCTCTACCAGTTGTGAAACATTTGTGAAAAGGCATTCCTTGCTAGAAGAGAGGGAAGGAGATATACTTGGGGACATAATAACCAACCAACGTCGAAGAGTCAATAAAGAGCCCAGAATAACAGTCAATTTAAAGCAATAACAGGTAGATAGAATCCATGAATACAAGAGTTTTATGATTTCTTTCTCCTACTGTTCTATTCTGTTGCTCAATAGATTAATAATTTTGTTTCTATTATATGGATCTAACTCACAAAGGAAATCATATGACTTAGTTTATGAGCCAGCAATGGGGAAAAGGCTTTTTCGATTGCCTGCCCGTCCTAGTACTAGCAACACCACAAACAAAAGGCAGCCACCAATTCATCTTTTTCACAACCTTCCATGTTAATTAGTTTATATGGTTTTTTTTGTGCATTTTTTCTCGCATATCACATACTAAAACATATTTAAGCATACAAAGTGTCAATACATATGTTCTCTTTTCCTAAAAATATGCCGTATTTAATACAGTGAGCCAAGGGATACGTTTTACTTTAAAAAGCACTTCCCCAATATCAAAAAGAGCTTCTGTATTCCTTCATCTATAAGGATAGCGCACAGTCGTCCCGATTTTCTCACTATCAAAGATACCTCTTCCCTCAATCTTCGTAAAGTAAAAAGCATAAAAATACCCTTTACTTATACAACATTCGTAAAGCAATCACAAGTTTTAAGAGAAAAATATCTGTATTATCAAATCAAACCCACAACACAGTTTCACCATAAATATCAATATGACTATATACATATACATATGCATATGCAGAAATGCTCAGTTTCACGCAACAATCAAACCCGGTGAATTATACTTTACTCATTAAGTAGATTATAAAAACGAAAATATTCAGTGTATCTATGTGTACAATCAAAAAGGAAAACTTTATGTGTCCCCTTAGATATGCATGCATACTTTCATACTTAAGTCATTTGCGCTTCTACCCTCAATCTTGCATCTACACTCAGTGCGTGGCATGAAAATATATAGATGTGCAAGCAAAGCGTAAGATTAGTATGAATATCTATAATTTTTTTCCCCCACAATGATCTAGCCAATAAAGTTCACATTAATATGTTCATCTCTGATGGTCCGGATGCGCTCTTTTCTTTTAACTTAACGCCAAACCCAGACCATCACCTTTATTTGGGCTGAGGACCAAGATGGGTGTAGGTTCTTTTTTAATCGGAATCAACAATTTCACGTGCCTCCTTAACTTTATCGGCAGTTGTCCTTATCACAATGTTCTTGTCTGGGCTAGGGAACTTGGACTCCGCGGGCCCCACTGAGGACCCCGTCTCGTCGAGGGATTCCTGATACTCATGCAGTGGGGGCGTTACGCATTGAACGGAATCCACCGTGGGCCCGAGGCACTCCTCCCGAACTTTGCGGATCGCATGATATACCCGTTCCATAGCTTCCTCGGAGGGCCCTATTTTTAGATTGTAGCATCGGCGGCAGGTCGCGACGTACATATCAACACCCCCGATGAGCTCTTGTTCCTCCGCATCCGCAGTGCGCCGTGAGAAGGAGGCCGGGCGTGAGCGGCACATTACGCACACCGCGGAAAGCTTCGTAACGGACTCGCATACAGCGACCAGATTGCACACCTGCCCAAACGGCTCGCGACGGTAGTCGGCATCTAGGGCGGAGACTAGGACGATCTTGCCGGCATCTGCCGCTTTATTGCAAAAGGAAACAATGTCAGGGAAAAACTGACCCTCGTCCACGGCAATGACGTCGTAAGACTTCCATGCATCACCTAGATCGCTAAGGCGAGTAACAGCCACCTGCGCACGGAATTTTACTTCATCATGAGATGCAACGTTCTTCACATCGTAGCGAGTTTCTCGTGCGTATTTGATGACATAGCAGGTTCGCAGTGCATGAATCTCACGCTTAATACGGTTCATGAGCGCACTAGTCTTACCAGAGAACATTGGCCCGATAATAAGCTCAATACGTCCGCATCCCTCTTGCAACATTGACTCTCCATCCATCATTCTGTCTATAAGTTTGAGTATGTGTGTATTCTTGTCACAGGGAGAGGGGAAATATTTTTTTAATCTATAAGGAAGCAATTCCAAAAGAAGAATTTTTTTCCTAAAAGGTGAAAAGAATCAAAGAAAGAGGTAGTTAGGTGGTCTGATGATGTGTCACAGAATTTCTGCACCTGGTGAAACGATCAGGTCACACTGTATTTTGGAACTAGAGGCACCAGCACAAAGAGTAAATGCATGTATCTGGCGTCCTTACACTGTGCAAGAAGTCCTTACACATAGTCTGACTTTCCGTGAATAATAGACAAAAACTGTAGTAAAAGGAACAAAAAAAAGGAACATGCATGAAAACAATAATAGACCTTAGAGTGGGTCCTTGTACAATGGGTGGGGTCGAAATCCCGGGAAATTTGATTTCTATATGAGTTGCAAACGCAAAAGAAAGGGATTTGAGGTGAGGTGTATGTACAGTTATGCACATACATAGAGGATCGTATACACTATTCTACATTAATATCTAGAAAAATAATCAAACACACTTTTGAAAACCACGGTTTAAGCACCAATTCATTTTGTTCTTCCACGCCAGACCGTTGTGCGTATTTGGAGTCATAAGCTCTAGGGGTTGTGGAGGCTTCTTGGGATAGGGTCGTGTCCCCACCGTCTCGCCTCGTTAGAGATGACGATACCCGCTAAGAGTGCGGGTGTAGGGCCCTCGACCGGCCCCTCCGCCGTCGCATCGGGGGTTCGCATCGTCGAGGATCCGCAACCCTCCCAGCTGGTCGTTCGCGGTGTGGCTCCGATGAAAACTCCTTGACGCGATCCACTGGGAGAGCGCGGCGTCGCTGGCGCGGCTGCCGCTGCTGGTTTGCATCCCAACTGGGGGCGGCCGCGCAACAGGGGAGACGAAGCGATACTCACGCGTCAGCACCACTGCCTCGGTAAGACGAGGGTCGTGGCCGGCGCTGGAGCCGCCCG